ACGGAAGTGAAATCTCGCATTTCTCAAGAAGAAATTATATGGTCTCCAAATTAATTTAATTCAACGTTAAATTACATAATTTATACTTGATCTAGTTTTGAAAAAAAAATCAAACCTATAATTAATTACCAAATGTAACATTTGCTAGTGAGTGTAGACCGAATCCCTTGCATCCCCATGTATTTATTTCATTAAATTTTATTTCTTCGTTATATTTGAATTATGTTGTGAGTATAAGATGGATGGTACCAGAGCGAAGCTTGTAAGTGAAGACCGTATTAATTTACGGAGTCAATTGGAGGGACAGGAGAGCGCGACCTCTCGAATTGCTATTGCCCTTTACTCTTGCCCTCGTTGTGGCTCTGCGTTCCTCAATTTATTTCAGTTGTACACATGACACGTTCACAGAAAACTGAATGATATAGTGATAATATTTTTGTCGTTATCATCAATCTGTCAATTATACAATACTGCACATGAGCATATCCCACATCTGGGAAAACTTGTGCAACTCCTTTTCATGTGTCCAGTGCTGTTGCCGCGTAATGGCGGTGTAAGAAAATCTACTACCCTATATCATCCCATGGGTGTCCTAAAAGGCGATAGAGGGAAATAAAAGATGGAGATGGGCAGCAGCGCCTTCCTAATAACGACTAAAAATAAAATACTGCGGTTGCCAACCCGCTTGCCATGCGTAGCAACTATGGCAAATATCCCCTACGAGACAATCTATGGGAGAGTGTATGAAACAGCTAGACTTGTTTACTTTTGCTATTTCCATAACATAATGTTGTATGGTATTTTTTCTATGGAGACATACGATTGACACTGAAATTATATTAGTTTTACCCAAGAGGACCATAAGAGCAATCTGTGCTTTAAAACCTAGAGTCACTCAGAAAAATATTTAAGGAGTTATATTAACTTTGGTCTTTCAATACATTTATGAAAATGAATAACGAACGTACACAAAAATAAAGTAGTTTTATAAAACACAAGTTAGTAGTACCAGTTACTCGACTCCACCGAGTCAGTAATTCATTCTTGGGGCGATGTATACGCTTTTACAACAAAATTCCAGAAAATATACAAAATTCGACCTGCTCAAAGTTCAAAAACTTTATTAAAAAAGTTTGTTTATAAACGATTATTATAATATTAAGGAATTTATGGATGATAATAACCCCTGGGAAGGAGGTGATCGCTACCAAGCTATTTCTAATTTGTTTTGTGTTGTTAATTGTGTAACATATAGATATGATTTTTTCACTTTACGTGGTAGAGCCATGCTGCAGCTATATTAATAGTATAGTTGTAGCACGAATGGGTGGGCTCCACCGGGGAAGGATCACGCTCTCACACAATACCAGCGTAAAATAGCAGCTTAATGCTGCTGTGTTTCGTATGGTGAGTGTAGAGAACCCTTTTTACTAGAAAAGAGGCATTCTATCTTCGTCCTCCGGCTGACAACGCATCTACATTTTCATTTGCAAACGAAGATAGATGTAGATGTCCATGGGCCACAGTAACCACTTACCATCAGGTGGACTGTGCTCGTTTGTCATCCTTATTCTATAAAAAAAAATGATTTTAAATTGTCAACTTATTTAAAAAAAAATTGTTAGTTCTTCTTAGGGTAGAGGTCTTTTCCGAAGTTCCGAACCAATGTAGTGGTAAATGTAAGATAAGAGTGTTATTTATAATCTATATTAAATAAAAAAGTTTCTGTTGCATATTGCTACAACCATAATACTTATAATAACTGTCACTAAAATAAACCGTTATTCGAATGAATCCTAAAAACATAACAAACTCACCCGTGTATGTTTACACCTCTTTTATGGAGACAGTGCGGAAACGCGCCATTTGACGGCGGCAGTTAATGACGTCACGTGTCACCGCAGCTGCGGAATGTGGTAACATTGCAGTGCTCTTTAATGTTGGTGTTGGAGAGAGAATGTCTATGTAAATTAAGCACTGCCGTGTTTTACTAAGTAACACGTAGTACATTAAGTTGGTATAAAGTTATCGTTCACTCACTCAACACTCATTTATTGCTCTGTGTGATCCTCTTCTTTCTTAGCTCCTAAAACTCCACTGTTAGAAGAAATGGACCTCCCAGGTTGTAGAGTAAAGTTTTGCCTTAGCGTAATCCTAATATGGCTGTGCACTTATCGGGATTTAAATAAAGCGTTGACAGTGTCCACTCATTATCACTATATTTCGACAGAATACACGCACATATATTAAAATCAAATCAAATTAAATGAAATAGTTACAGCAGAAGAAGAAGCACAGTTTATAGACGAATGATTACAACAAGAAAGTTGCGGAAATAAAAATTATAATATATTTTGAAAATTTTTATAAGTATATGCGCGTAAGCAGAGGGCTAGCAAAATCGGACATACATTCGCCGTGATAACTCCGACGCCTCACATCATTCACGTCATTTCGCTTGCCGGACATCGTTGCACGTCTGGAGAATTGTATATTTCGAAGACATAAAGTCCTATCTAACTGTCTGCTTTTTCATGAACGGGCGAAGCAGTAAGACTTAGATATAGGAGTCAAACACGCTCGCTGTAGCCGAAAGCGACTAGGAAGTAGAGAGTAGTATGTCAGCATAAAATAGATAAAGAAAAAAATCTTTTAGTTAATGTAAATAACGGGCGTTGATGTTGATAATTAATTAATAATAAAAACGTCCTCGTGACAGAATTTCGGTCACGGCGCCCAGTCTTAACGGAAATTAGCCATTTGCGCAGAATAGGGTTATGTGGCAGAGGGTTATGTGGCAGTGGCAGAGTGTATGCGCAAGCGGGAGTACACTCTATACACTAACTCTCATAGTCCGATGGGACGGTAAACCGACACGACTGGAGAGAGACCAGGCGCAGGAGCAACGGCTTTACGTACTTTCCGAGGCACGGGGGTGAGACACCGCCACCTGACTCCGGGCTGCTACTGAGAATTTCTTGAGAGAAAAACCCAATAACTGATTTTGTCCCGTCCTGGTATCCAAACCACTAAACTCATGATCAGTAGCCGCGCTCACAACCACAAGACCGACGAAGCTGTAAAAGGTTATATTTAATTGATTTTATTATACATGCTCATAACTTGCCAGATGTTAACGGTTCCACTATAGTCGTGTGACCTGCAGCAGATGTTAGTTGACATATGTTTATATCCGTTACGACACCCGCGACGTGATCGAAAATAGTCCCAAAACGTGTAACAGAAACACTGGCGTAATAGAATTGAATAATTCTCAATTAATAAAGATAATATTAATAATTAAATAAAACTGACAGCTGCGTAATTCGAAGTGGCATTCCTTATTGGTACCCAGCACAATTAACTTATAGCAAGCTGTTTAATAAATTGCTAAAAGTATATTTGCTTGCACATACACATCCATCCAGACATTGCAAAACAAAAAAAAATGAGTAAGATAAATGTAAAGCAGTACAATAATTATATTTTTGTTTTGCTATGTTTGGTTTGTACTGTATTTTTTCATCGTCTGTTTTTATGTGTTGTGTGAAGACATCGCGAGGAAACCTGCATGACTTAGAAATTAAAACAAATCTTTCGAAGTCATGTCAAGTCCGCCAACACGATCTGGGGTAGCGTGGCAGTCATAGCCTTGCATTGAGAGGAAGTTTGTACCCAACATTGGGGTATATACCTTTACCGTTACAATTACAGCCTATTAAAGTCCACTGCTGAACATGGCCTCCCCCCCCACATTGCCACGCTTGGCAAGCGGGTTGGCAACCACAGTTGTGATATTCTTACACCGCCACCGCACGGTAAGGGACGTAATAGCCTGTTACTTTATAATTTAACTATTTTTTTTACAAAATGTGGAAGCGCACAAAACCAACGCTCCGTGTTTTATTTGGAAAACGATTTTATATCAATATTTAATTAATTGTCAACGCAATTTCTGAGGGGTGGTACTGTACAATGGACACGTCAATTGCATGTGCTCATGTAAATTTCCGTTTCGTAATTATATGTGTTGAATTATTATCAAACAATTTAACGAAATATTACATTTTAGGGTTATTGGAATAAAAAATAACATGAAAAAATGTGCTTCGTAGAGCCTTGCTACAGCTCGCTATAACGAATGCGTGCCGGTGGCTCATGTTTGTTTGTTTGTTAGTTATGATGAGACCTTACCTCCGGACTTGAAAGAGCGATCTGAAGGTGTACTTGCTACTAGAACTCCTTGACGAGTATTAATAGGTGTGCCGATTTTGGGCTCGTTTTGTTAGTTATGAATAGACCATACCTCCAGATTTGACGGAGTAACTTGAAGGTGTACTTCGGAAACTGCTACTGGAAATCTTTAACGAATAGAACTACAATTTAATTTTTTTCGCTATCATATGAGCATTATGAGTCGTGCCCTTTTGGATTTTCCAAACATTTTTTAGTTGAAGTTCGACATAAAGTTATCGGAAATTTTGGAAATATAGTAATAAAGTTATTAGTGAAAACTTATATGTATTTAAACTACTTTAAAAAATTTAGGTATAATCATGTTTTACATAATTTTTTTAATGCGCTTAAGACATGCACAATTGGGTTTACCAACAGTTTTTGTATTTGGACGTGGAATGAAAAAGTGAGATCTCCGGCCAGGCAAGGTGTTCACCCGTGGGAACGGCCAACGCTCCGTGTGATAATTTGGGGCTACGTATTTTATATCTACCGCAGGGCTTCGGAACTTTGATAGCGCGATTTAGGCTTCGGTACGTTTCGCTTGTGGCGCGACGACATTGCCGCCACATGTAAACACATCAACTAATAAAGTTATAACAAAATTAAAAAAAACAACAATTTAACAGATATCAGGACTTGCTACAGTCACCACAAGTCTCGCACAAATACACCGCTTCTCGTCACCATGACGTTGTATTCAAAACGGATGGATGGGTCGTGAACAGTATCATCTTACATAAATCATCTTTTCGTCTTTGCAGGTGTGAGCGCGAACAAGATCGCGAAGCGAACGGATCTCGCCCCGAACAAGGGTGGTCCGTTCGCGGCGGCGTTGCGAACGCTCGCTAAAAACGCTGGCCCCGACGCCAAGGATGGTGAGTGATAATACGCTGCACACTCCCCTTCACAGACTTGGCCGAGTAACATGGAACTCTCTTATATCGAAACATATTAATTTTATGACGGAAATGGTGCACATCATATTCCAGTAGTGTTTTTCTACATAACGAAGTTCCAGCTTCATTGTTGCATATAAAGTGTGTTCATAACTATCGAATATAACTCGTTATATTATAACTCGATAGTCCCTCAATCGAACCGCTTCTACAGTAATAATAATGTTAGTATTTAACTTACCCGTTATTTCGATAGGTCGAAATAGAAATGCCTTAGATTAATAATAATAATAATAGGTATTTTTTTCATAAAAACACTATTGTATGTAAATAAAGAGAATAGTCCCCACAAGGCATCGTGCCAAGTCCTCTGAAATATCTTTAGTTTTCGTGTTATACTGGATGGAAGCCTTTTTAAGAATGCATCTGGCATACTAACCTAAAAGATTTTCTAGTGAGGTTGGAGAAACAGTTGTTACATTGCCCTTTACGAGATAAATCAATTATTTAAGCTTATATTTCTGAAATATCAAGTTTTAAAAGAAATTGAAAGATGAAGTGAGGCATGCAGTGTGCGTTACCTCATAATCTTATAATATTAAAAAAATCAGGAAAATTGTGATAATTTCTTGTGGCATACTTTCCATTAATATTATAAAGAATATTCAAATTTTGACAAATAGTAGAGACGATCTGTACGCGTACCTAAACTTATTACTTGCTCATTTTTAATTTTGTTCTTATAAGACGCACGATGAGATCGTTCAACCCGAATTTATGTTTGGTTATAATTCTTCTCTTATACAGTATGAGTTCACTGTTACTCGAGCCATATTTTTTTAATTAATTTGAGTAGTTATAGAATGCTTCCAACAGAACACTTGTTGGGTTCTCACGTCCATTTCCTTATCATCGAACGAATTTTACTTAGTATATTATATTTTCAAACAGACTTTATTATAATCTAAAAAAAAAAAGAAAGGTTCACATACAAAATATTTTAAATTCTTAGACATACTCGTATTGTAATAATTGCCCAGAGTGATAACATTTAAACAATTCAGTATTTATCTAATTTCCAATACGTTCACTCTTGTCAATTAATTTTTACCGAAATGTATTTTTTTTAAATGATTTATTCATTTTAAGTTTTACTGTGTCAACGTAAAGATTAGCATAGAGTGCTTACACTAATCCCAGATTACTAACAGGTTTTTTAATCTATATTTATCGCTGTAGGTATATTTATAAAAATTCAAACAACATCATAACATCCAGAAATTTTTTGGTTATTAGTGGTCTTTTATAGTTTTCTTGAACCACTATCCAAAAAAAAATATTTTGATGTTAATTTGAAATTCTTAAATAATAACTGTTGCTTACACTCAGCTCTTGAATCTCTTTGTTTAATTTTAAAAAATTCAAACGATGTACTCATTTTTATATTTCTAAAACGCTTCATATTAATAAAGAAGAAGTCTATCTCGAATATATTAATTGTATAACGAAACTATAACATTGTTCGCTGGCTAAAATTTCTAAAAATTGTTTAAATTCATAGTAATTGTTGAAGGAAGAGCTGAATGTTGTACTGATCGACATTGGCGGAGCTATTAAATAAGGATTGTAGCTAATTAAAGCGAAAACAGATTTGAATCAACTAATTTGTTTGTAAAGTAAAAGATATTGCAAAACAACGCTAGTCCTAGTTCCGTTGATGTCGAGGGCCGATAAAAGGCCTATAGTGCCGTGTCGGCGTCTGAACCGCGAGTGTTTAGGGACGGCGGCGGTCGATCGGGAGGCGAAGGAGAAACCTCCGGCGCCATCGAAACGTGCCTCGCCACATCATCTGTCTGCTAGTGGGTTCCAGCCCTATCGACCTGATGACAGGTAACAAACAATTATTTCTTAACTTAATAATATTTTATATCAATTATAACAAACTGTATCCATCAACTTCCTGCATTTATTACCAAGTGATGACTCCATCTAGTGGAGGGCTGTCTTACATTTCACTTACCGATATGAGACTGAAACTCGAGAATCTTTCTTCTCCATCAGTTGTTCGAACAAAATGAACGGCCCGTTGCCATTTCATCTTACCGCTTGCTAGATCCGTAGCCCAGGACCGTGCTGTGTGGCATAATTTGGAAGACGCCTATGTTCCTCAACAGTAGACTTGGGAAGAGCTGTAATGACGATGACGATGATGATAACAAACTTTAATGCTGATTTAATTGATGTAATTTAGCCTTTTTGGGTCTTTCCATTTTATGATGAATATGAGAAATTGTTTCCACGTTACATTTCGCATTGTTTCTTTTTATATAAGGCTATCGCTGTTTCCAAACAAAACAACTAATTAAAAACCTGTTTATAATTATTCGTTTTGGTATCGCATTGTATCGCATTGGTAACAAAGATGCTTTGAATATTCAAGTTTTGCTTCTAACTAAATTCGGCGTCACAAAAATCGCACCTCCCCGAAAAAAAATTACTTTACTTTAGTATCTGGCTCTCAGTGTTTACATTTATTCAAGTCAATATTGGTACCTACTGAAAGTGCGTTTACCTTTAAATTAACAACCGTTTTGTTTCATAAACTTAAGAAATCTCCTGTGTACAAGACGTTGAAAAACCTGTTTCAAAAATACGCGTCATAAAGATTACTAGTTGCGGTGCGTTGTGTGCTATAAAAGGGCCGGTACAGTTAAAATGTAAGTCATTTGCTTTCCAAACATTATAGAAGATACATGTCAACTTCTGAAGCAAGCTAAAAACCCCACAATATGGATACCAGTGCTGGTGAAGCCGCTCAAGTGATTGCGCTACTGCAGTCAGGGATGCGACAGTGTCATGTCGCTCGGCAACTAAATCTATTCCATTTTTCCGTCCAACGAGTATTACAACGATTCCAGGACACTGGTGGTTATATTCGGAGGCGTGGATCTGGGCAATAGCGCTGCACATCTCAAAGTGACGATCCATTCATTGTATCGACAACTTTACGCAATAGATTCTCGAATGCTGTAGAACTTCAATAGCAGCTACGATCAGCTCGCAGAACATATGTAAGCGTTTCTGCAATCAGAAGATGGTTAAGAGAATAGAAAATTGCATAGGCCTGCAACTTGTCCAAAATGGATCGCACAGCATCGCAGAGATCGATTGCAATTTGCACGCGATTATATTGTTTGGATGATCGACCAATGGAGGACGGTACTTTTTTCGGATGAGACGAGAGTATGTCTTTTCTGCAATGATAAACGCAGAGTAGTATACAGAAGGCAAGGGGAACAATTTGCACAAGCCTGTATTAAAGAAACAGTTGGATTCAAGGGTGGCTCATGCATGTTCTGGGGTGGCATGTCAGTCGACGGCAAAACCCAGCTGGTCTGCGTTTCCTGGAGTGGAGGTGTTCGTTGTAAAGAGTCGCCGACTGCTCACCGATACGTAATGGAGATCCTAAAAGAACATGTGGCCCCATACGCCGGTTTTGTTGGCGATGGATTTACATTAATGCACTGTAACGCCCGCTGCCACACTGCATTAATTGTACGTGATTACCTTCAAGAGGTCGGTATCTTTGTTATGTGGTGGCCGACGCAAAGTCCAGACTCTGGGATGATGTAAAACAGCGCGAGTACGGGATCGCGATCCTGCCCCAACCACACTGGATAAACTCGGGGAGGCTGTCATTGAGGAATGGTACAACATTCCTCAAGAACGTGTTTTAAGTTGATCAGATCAATGAAAGACCGTATGGAAGCAGTAATTAAGGCAAGGGGTGGTAACACTAAGTTTTAGGCCGTTTCAAAACATGGTTTTATTTAATTTTGTAAGTTATATATAAATACTAATTTTCTTCTTGTTACCATTAACTTTTTTTTATTCCCTGGTAAAAAAAAAACATGATAACCAATTTTTTTTCTAGTGAGTAAATTTCATTACCTTTCCAATGATATAACATACTGATAGACAAGCTTACCATTGATTAAATGGATTTAAAAGTAGTTTGAAATAGAAATTTAAATATGTGCTATTTTTGTGACGCCGAGTGTAATTAGTTAGAAAGAAAGACTAAAAAGAAGAAAAAAAACCCTTAGAAAAAAAACTAGTCGTATTTTTCTATTTGCATAATGAAGCTTTTCAATGGAGCCAAAAAACTAAGACGCGCGCTATAACTACTTTCTTGTTCAAATCCCTAAAGATAAGCCAATGTTTCCAGTGTGTAATTGAGTGTAAGAAAAATAAGTGTTTGCTTTTTTTTTATGAAACTGAAGTCACAAACAAACTTCAGTCCACCTTCGGACTTTCTAAAAGTAATTTTGATTATATTCAGATTTTCAGAAAACATGATTTTTACATCTGCTTTGTTCTGAATAACGACTTATTTTTTTAGGGGCGCCTTGCTATTACCTGTACTTGCAGCATCTAATTAGCACTTAATTTCTAGCTATTAATATTTATCGTATATCTATTAACGTCACTTCGTTGCTAGCGATTCGTTTTGCTAGCAACGCAAATTTCGACAGTTCGTTGCTGTGACAGTTTTAGAGTATTTAATTTTTAAATTTGGCACCTAATTAGCACCTAAAGGCCCCTAATATTAGGTTTCCCTAAATGAAAATACCTGACTTTGTTGCTGGCGATACACTACGCCTGGTGGATGCTGCCAAATTAAGAATTTCTTAATTATTATTTTCGATATGACACAAAAAATCTTTTAGAGACTGCTACTATAATACTCCTAACCTATGAATATATTATATATTTTTTTCTTTTTTATAAGTTGCACATATTTCATCTAATGCTTTGTTATTGCAGTGGCGAAGAATCAAAATGCGAATGTGTTGCTACTCCTTAGGCTTAAGATTGATTCACAAAGTCTAAGAGATACCTCGTTGCGATTAGAAAGGGTATCCGATATTATGCAGCTATTTTACGCTTATGTTCCGTGAGAGTGTGTCGACTCCGACCCATTTACGCTGTACCTATTGTAGTGTCGCCCTACCCTGTAAAAAGTTTTTTGCAATGTTTTGGAGATACAGTTAATAAATAAATAATACTCGTATCACGCATTGATCATGACAGCTGATGATCCCGGTGTATGTAACGTCTAGGTCATTGGAAATTATTGTATTGCAAAGACTTGTATATATACTATAAGACGGGCACCACGTTACTAATACTAAGTTACGCTCAATTCTCATCAAATTTTAGGGTTTTGACCTCTATTCTGACATTTCAAGGTCAAGAGAACCCCAGATTCAGATTTAGCGGCCCCGAAAACATATATATAAATTTTTCCAGATTTTTTTAATAGTCACTCCGCAATTTGACCTTCAGATGCCCTTGACCCTGACGTGATGGGGTTAAATAGACCCCGGATTCGGATTCAGCAACCTCAAAAACATACAGTGCACCTCCTCAGACATCGGAGAAAATAATTTAATTTTTTTGTTGGGCTGTGTAATAGGTAGACAGTTAAAATTTTCACATAACAACAAATAATAAAATTAAAAATTAAAGGGGCTCCCCTACTATAAACGTGTCTAACGATGGTACGGAACCCTTCATGCAAAAGTTCGACTCGCACTTGGCCGGTTTTTGTCTAGGTCTACTCCCCTACTAGAAACGTGTCTTACGATGGTACGGAACCCTTCATGCAAAAGTTCGACTCGCACTTGGCCGGTTTTTGTCTAGGAGTATACATAGGAGTCTTTGATAATAACACGCATCGATGGATCACGAGATGTGATTATTCTAGTGTATGTAATATCTAGGTCATATCTAGGAAATTATTGTATTGTCATCTGTTGGTAATATGTTTGTGAATTGTCAGATTATTTAAACGTTGGAAATTTGTGAAAAGTAAATTACAAAATTGTAATACATTTATACATAAAGGTTAATTTATTCAAAATCTTGTAATAAGTTTTTTACATGAATAAATTTCTGGAGTTGTATATTATGTTATAATTCCTACACAATTCTAAGTTACTTTACCTCTTATTCTACAGATTAACTCATCCAGCGGCGGCATCATTTCCCCTTCTGGAACCTACCGCATATTCCCCTTACGCTCATCCCGGCCTGTATTCGAGTGCGGCGCTGCAATACAGGTCAGTTTAACAGCTACTAGAAATTTGAGTACAATTTTATTACACTTTTCAGTATAGATTCCAACTTTCAAGTATTTATTGAACGATTAAATTGTTAAACAAGTATCAGTTGCTTTTTATTATAAAATGATAACGAATATTTTGTGTTATATTGAAATCAAGTTAGATGGGGCAGTATATAATATGATAACTTTATAAATTTAACATATTTTAGAATGATATTAATCAAACGAAGGAAATAAGTTTTGCAAATGCTACAAGTTGAAGCTAATTTTTACGGATTTTAGTCAATTCATTTTAATTTATTTCATATTCCAAAATCAAAAAAAGTTCGCACGTGCCATGTTTCATCGGTTCCGTGTTGAATCGTGATTGCAGGCTAGCGGCGGAAGAGCAGATGTATCTGGAGCGGATGTTCCGCAGCGGCGTGGGTGTCGGCGTGGGCTGGCTGCCGCCGTACGCGCTGTACCCGCCGCTGGCGCCGCCGCTGCCGCTCGTGCCGCACGCGCCGCACGCGCCGCACGCCGCGCACGCCGCACACGCCGCGCACGCGGCCCACGCCTCGCACGCGGCGCACGCAGCGCACGCCGCACACGCGGCTCACGCGGCGCACGAGGAACGGGACAAGGAGCTGGCGCTGCAGCGGGAACGGGAGAGAGAGCGAGAGAGGTAAATGATTTACTTCATCTCATATATATTAGCCTACTAACAGTTCAAACGTTGTCTTAATATTACTATCACATAGTAAGGTAGTTTCGTCGTAACGATCGTGCTTGATAAACAAATAGCGAGATTGTCGACTTTTATATGGTTATGACGTCGACACCATTTATGTCGCTATCTAACGGTAACAAGACCAACAATTATTTTTTTCAATTAATGTCACTCGAGTTATATTTTGCTTTCGATGTAAATTTGGAAAAACATTGGTCCCAGGTGAAAGCCTAGAGGTACGCCATTGTTCAAATATTTTGTTATCTAAATATAAAAATAAATTTCTATACGTTAGTCTCGTTAAAACTCGAAAGTAACTCGAGCGATTCTGATGAAGTTATTTGTGTATTTGAGTGAGTTCCTCTGGATGATTTAGATTCACAATTGGACCCAGTAGATGGAGCTGTTGTCGAGATGCAGAAATCACCCGTGCGAAACTGGGGCGGGTCGCTAATATATTATAATAAATGTTAAAACCTTTTTTCTTCTTTTCTATAAAAAGCATTTCACGTAAAATTAATCTAAAAATTTGCCAATAAACTATCAAAGCTCCCTTCGTCACTTTAGCAACTGAATGTAACAAAGATACAAATAAAGTATCTTTGTTACATTCAATTACTAAAGTGATTTTCTTGAATATTTTGTTGTCGATACAATTACATAACAAAACTTTAAAAAAATTATCAGATATATTTCAAATGGAGAACTGCTCTCTGAATAATTTTTTTTTTAATTTTGTCTGCTATTTGTTTTTTACCTGTCTATTTGTTTGTTTGGGCTAATTTTGGGATTGGCTGAACGGGTTGTAATAAAACTTGACAAACAGCTAAAGAACACTACTTTAATATTTTATTCCGAAAAATTTGGAGGTTTTTTTTGGGCAATCGAAAAATTGATAAAATATGATAAATATGGCCTTTCACGGTTATCTTAAGTCTCAATAACGCCGCATTAATAAACCCTGTCCAAACGAAGATCGCTTGTATCAAATATACGAATAATGTTAATTTAATCAATATTATCATTTAATATGACGAATGATAGAGGAATAAATGTGTTATGTGTAAATGAGACGAAACGAAAGGAAAGAGATGTCACTGCACACGGCATGTATACCGCTTACTCCTCTGGTGTAGACAAGACCAAGCGGGCATGCCAGGGAGTCGGTGTCAACCTTTCAGAAAGAATGGGTCAATGTGTGAAAGAGTATGAATGTGTAAGCCCAAGACTGCTGTGGATACGAATGAAAGTTGGCTTAAAGAAGTTGTTTGTGCTAGGGGTGTACGCCCCAGATATATTTAAGCCCACCTATATCCGAGAGCTGTTTTCGGACATGGTAAGGCTGGTGTTGATGAAATGTAAGGAAAATGAAAATATTATTATGTTAGGAGATTTTAATGGAAGGGTTGGGGTGAGGAGGTTTGGTTATGAAAGGATATTAGGAACGTTTGGTGATGAAAGTGTAAATGAGAATGGTGAAGACCTCCTCACCGTATGTGTGAAAAAACATTTCTTTTAGTGACGAACACTTTCTTTCGCCATAAGAGGATTCACATGTATACATGGGAGAGAGGAGATGATAGAAGCATGATAGATTTCATAATTGTGGATGAAAGAAGGAGGAGCGCAGTGGTAGATGCAACCGTTTACCGGGGGTACAACGTAGGATTAGACTGAAGGACTGTTTTGAATGAATTATGTATGAATGATTTAGATTTGAAGACTGTATGGAATAATGTTAAGAAAATTTTAGTGGATGCAGCCACCGAAGTATGTGGTGTAAGTAAGAGAACGAATGAAAAAAAAGTAATACCCTGTGGTGGGATGATGAGGTACGGATGGAAGTTGAAGCAAAGAAGAGAGCATGGCTAGATTTACTAGCAACCAAAGCTGGTAATTCTGGCGTTATGAATGATGAGATTGAAAGAAAAAAGGCAGACTTTAGACGTATAAATAAGAGAGTAAAAGAAGTTGTTGAAAGGAAAAAGCAATAAAGGATGGATAAGAATGATAAAAGGATATCTGATGACTTCCAGGCAAATATTAAAATGTTCTGGAAACTCGTAAGAACTGGCAGGGAAAATTGAAAACAGCCTAGAATGAATGCTATACGGACGAGAATGGCTGCATGCTGAATGATGAAGTTTCGAATTTGAAGAGTTGGAAGGAATATTTTGAATAGCGTGTTTAAGAGTGAATAGTCGTCTGAATTAAGTGAAATAGAAATTCCGAAAGAAGTGGAGACAGGTAGGGAGATAAGTGTAGATGAAATAATGAAAGCAATGAAAAGCATTAAAGCAGGTAAGGCAGCCGAATATGATAGAGTATCACTCGAAAAGCTAACGGCTGGAGGGGTTGTGGTTGCAGGCCTGCTGTACACCTTGTTTAATTTATGTTGGTAACTGAAGCGGGTACCGGAAGACTGGTGCAAAGCCGTTATAGTCCCAATATATAAGGGAAAGGGGTCGCAGCAGGACTGTAATAACTACCGTGGTATCAGCTTGCTTAGCATTGTGGGTAAACTGTATGCTAAGGTGTTGATTGAAAGAGTTATGGAAGAAACTGATGGAAAAATTTGGGATGTGCAAGCTGAATTTAGAAATGGGGTGGGGTGTACAGTACAAGTCTTTTCCATGCGCATGATTGCGAAGAAGTTTTTGGCCAAAAACCAGAAAGCTTTTTGTGCGTTCATGGACTTCAAAAAGAATGTGTTATGGCAAAACACTGAACTCATTTGGGTTGAGCGCTGGTTTGATACAGGCATTAAGGTCTCTTTATAGGGACTCAGTGCTTGTGTCAGGATCAATGAGGTCTATTCGAACTGGTTTGGCATTCAAAAAGGTGCCAGACAGGGCTGTGTAGCTTCCCCGTGGCTGTTTAACCTATTTATGGACAGTGGTTTGCAAACTTTGAAAGTTGAAGAATATGGGATGAGAATGTTTGATTTAACCGTCAAATGCCTTTTGTACGCCGATGATCAAGTCATATTTGCATCGTCGGTGGCCGAGTTGCAAATGATGGTTACTTTAATGAACTAGTCATTAAAAGAAGGGATATGAAAATGGACGCAAGTAAGACGAAAGTGATGGTTTTTGAAAGAGAAGAAAGTAAAACGTTATGTGAAATAAGAATAGAAGCAAGTGAAATAAGTATAGAAGCAAGTAAAATAGGAGGAAGTGGATGAGTTTGTATATTGGGGATGTTTATTTAGCAGGGATGGTAGATATGATAAGGAATGACGAGTGAACGCAGGAAATAGAGTGAATGGGGCTCTACACGCTATTATGAGGAGTTAGAATGTGTCAAATAAGGGCACGTATGGCAATTCATAATGCTGTGTTAGTCCCTACTTTAATGTATGGTAGTGAAAGTTGGGTCTGGCAGAAGAAGCATGAGAGTAGAATAAATCCTGTAGAAATGCGGTCATTAAGGAGTATGCTAGGGTTGAATCTGAATGACAGGGTGAGAAATAGTGATAAGAGAAAAGTGTGGTTTGCAAGATGACGATGCGACCAGGATTAAGAAAGGAATGCTTCGGTGATTTGGTCATGTAGAAAGAATGAACGAGGAAAGAGTGACAAAGCAAATTTATGAAGCAGAAGTGAACGGCAAAGTCGGGAAGGGACGTCCTAGACGAAGGTTTATCGACCAAATAGGCGATACATTGAAAATGGGCCAGATTAGGAGTACCCTTAACCGACGACTGTGTATGCGTAGATATAAAGGATATGGATGTAAATGAGGGGAGAGAGGTGTGTCAGGATCGCGCCAAATAGAAGTCCGTAGTCTGCCTACCCCTCTGAGTGACAGGCGTGAGTGTTTGTGTGTCTCATTTAACACACCAGTTAATGAGTCAGGAGTAGTGCATTGGTTCCTTATGTTTACGCGAACACTACACATTTAAAATCCGTAAAAACGATTTATATTTAAAGGATTTTTTTTTGGATGGCATCGGGTGGTTGGAATTGGGTTGGCGTCGAAATCAATGTTTATCCTTGCATTCCCAGGGAGAGGGAGCAGCGGGATAAGGAACAGAGGGAGCGAGTCGCGCGCGAGAAGGAATCGCGGCGCGAGGAGCAGCGCTCGCTGCAGCAGCGCGCGCCGCTCTACCGCCCCTACCGACACGACGCGCCCGCGCCGCCGCACGCCTCGCCGCACGCCGCCCCGCACGCCCCTCAGCACGCCCCGCCGCACGCCCCGCAGCACGCCCCGCAGCACGCCCCGCAGCACGCCCCGCAGCACGCCGCGCTGCACGCGGCGCCGCACGAGCCCGAGCGCGGTGAGAGCGCAGACGCGCCCGCGTGACCGCACACGCACACTGACGCAACCCTCGTCGCTTGACCGGCTAAACTGTTATCGTTTGAAACTTACAAACTTCAAATTACACGGACGGTGGGCCTGTTACACTTTACCTGCCACACACCTATACCCGTATACACCCTCAACAACTGACTTTAGTCTCTGAATAAGATACTTTGAGTCGATATAGGTCCATTATAATTTCTTCGATGTACTACCCCTGCTCCTCATCTACACATACACAAACACACACACAAACACACGCACACATATCCTTTTTGCAAACACGTGTAATATTGTACACTCTCAACATCAACTAAAACAGTAGTTTAACTTAAAACGACATGATTGTTGGTCCTCTACAAACCGGATACTCTTACATACCAGCCGACTGACAATTCTTCCGATTTGTCAATTTTCGTATAGTGTGAGCTTATGGTGATTAATATAACTTGACACTAACATTTATAAAAATTCGTAACTGTACAAAATTTATTGAAAAATAAAACAGACTTCAGATTTTCAGATATTCATAAAAAATATGGAAGAACCATCCTATTCCTATGACAATTTTATTTAATGGTGGTTCTTAATTATGTAAACCTATGTATATAAATTATGCTATTTGTACATTGTTCAATCAATCAAATGTTAAAAGAGAATGGATCAAGGACTCTCCATAAGAACAAATTTTGTACCATTTATTTATGTGAAATGTCCTAATTCATTCTCTTTTTATATACACGAAACAAAAATAAAGAATATTATCCATTTGTGCGTGGATAAGAAAATTATTTAAAGACAGCTGTAAAGATAAAACTTTCAGACATATTTTGTTTTTCTTGATTACAAAAAAGAATGTAAAATATGATCCTATGTGTCTCTCAGTCTCTCGAATTGTGGAATGTTATGTAGAGCTAGCCGTACCAATCCAAGTGCAATAGAATCAACACAGTTCCTAGAGTGTATAATTTATACGTCATGTGTCATTCGTGACAGATGACATTGACAGGTGAAAGCGAACTGTCAAAACGACTTGTTTAGTATTAAGTTCGGTTTTTCTACATAGTGTTGAAATACAATCGATACGTCCGTTTAACTTTTTTTATTTAGAGTTTTCTTAACACGTATGCAGTACGAATGATGGAGGGTACAGTTTTGTAAGGTGAAATTATTTTAAACCAATGTGAAAGAATGACTGCCAGGCGCAGGCGTGTAGATAGTCGAGCGATATTTAAATGAAAACCTAGGTGTTTATATTATATTTATCGGTCTGCCCCGTCGGGTTCCTACACGTAGGAATATGAAGACGGGACAGCACCGAAACACGCTCCCGAGTCGAAATGGTATATTTTGAAACTGTATATCTGCCTAATGTGTAGGTATTATTATATTACTTTCACTTATCCTTCACGTCAAATTTCTTAACGTATGTTTATTTTATATTTACCTGATATGTTTTACAGGTGTATTGTAGACACGTGTATTGCAGTATAATAGTGACGGCTGTCAACATAATTCCAATTTGACATTATTAAACAAGGTTGATGATTAAAATAGTAATTAAAAAAAGTTTACTGAAAAATAACCCTTCCCATACGTTTATACTATACCTGTCTCTTTCTATCGTCATTTAGTGAAAAAAAAATCTTGAAAAGAGGGCAATTTTAAGATTTCTTTCATTATTGATTTCGATTTTTATGAGTACGTCTGATAATTACAATCTTTTACCTCTTAAACCGAACTTATAACTCATTATTTGATACTATTTTGAACAAAAATTTTTAACTTGACAATTGTTATAAATTCAAATAGGTTCAATTTTCGTCTTTTGTCTTTGCTTCTTTTCTATAAATCTATAAATTTAGTGCTGTTTCGCGTGTGACCTTGTACTAATCAATGGTAAAATATTAGTTTAGGATTTTCCGACACTTATTTTTGACAGCTGTCATTATTTTGACGAATGCACGCACGCACACGTTTGTGACGTTTCTAAATATGTCCGTCTCGCTCGGCAGCGTAGTTGTACTTGAATGTAAAGTCGGGCGCTCGGCGTCGATTGTATAAATTAAGTAGGCTTATAATTGAGGCTCCCGCGTGCAAGTCCGCTTCGCAACAACGTCTCTTACTGCATTTGTGATAAGACTTAAATTCCCCTGCAGTATTCCCGCCCGGGGCGACCCGAGCGCCCGATTAACGAATAACGAATAAAATTTTTATAAGCAACAAAAAAAACCTCTTTGTACGTTTTAATTTAGATAGTTATTAATAATTTTAGCTTTTAATAGGTGTTTCGATGATTTCACGGATAAATTTTTTTCGTATCAAGCATTTAGCTGGCGTCAGTGCAAGTGTCGCCGTGTACATACTACGTTATAGTTAGACATGATATGGACAATACCTAACAAGTGAAAAGAATCAAAAAATATGATTTTATCGAGAAATACATTCAGTGAAATTAAACAGTTGCATGCTTGGTCCTCGGGGGCGATGCAAGTCGCTTGCAACGTTCCCGCGGACTGTAGTTTTTTTTTTGTTTTTCACTCACCCTCCTCCCCGCTCGAAAGCTTTGAAGTAGAAAGTAGAAAGCATTTGTGATGTTCTGTGTGGTTATTTCAGATGTACAGGGTGACAGAATCAGGTGTTATTTTGCGTTGATTAAAACAGTGAATGGAGATAAAGAAAATATTTACGATGACGATATAATATACTGACGACTCCGTGACGCAGCGCCTTAGCAATGAGTTGCAGCGCCGTATGCTGCGGCCGCGAGTTCGAATCCCGCACGGAACAAGTATTTGTATGGCCTACAAGTAATTGTTACGGGTCTGGATGTTTGTCCTGGTGTAATTTATGTATATAAACTATAGATATATACCCTATATATTCTCCTATACCCCAAGCAAGATACAGGAGAAATAATAGTGTGGAGATAACGTTTTCTAAATTAGAGAGAGTTGGAGTTACATAATATACTGACTTAGCAGACGTTGTTCTGCCCTTTTCAGTATGTGGCGCCATGAGTTTTACTTCGGAACTTTTACAGTACCCTACATCTAACATGCATATAAATAAAATTCAAGGTACGTCTGTAATATCGAAACAAATAGCTCTTATTTAACTGAGGGGGTTATTTGTATGCCAGTAAAACATGAATAACTATTTTTTTTTTAAATTCTGTATGTCCAAACTAATCTTCTATATGGTTTAATGTAATAAAACTTCACAAACATATAGAGAGCAATGTCGAGAGTGGTCTAGACTATATTCTATCAAAAACCATGGATATATTTATTGAACAAAAACGAGAAATACCTAAAATAAATGGTATTTGACTATCTTCCCTAAATAATGCCACATTATTACGTTATACCGAGGCTAAGTTACGAAGAGTCACTATTGTACACAGCGCCACCTATCGGATACAGATTTTGTGACTTTATTTTTTGGTACTAAGTCAATAGATAGACGTGTCGTTCGTTCATTTTTCGTGACACGATCATTCGTCTTACGAACCGGATTGATCATTCAAATGGATAATTTCGAGTTTCAGTACTCTGTGATCTGTGAGAGCCGCTCGATAATGTCGGTCGTCGGACATTATTATAGTCTGGTCCTAGGTCCTGTCAATAGTTTAATCCGGAACGTTGAAAAATTAATTGTATTCATCAATACTAAGCCAACATGCATTGTCAATGTAAGTCATTCTGATCCATTAATACAGTTACAATTTGATAATAAACTTACTACAGCGCCACCTATCTGATCCTGTCCATAACTATGGACTATATTCTCGACAAAAATTAATTGTGTACATATGATCAGGGCCTGATTTACCCAAAGGCTTACCATGCTGGAGCCTCTTGCGCAAGTTTCGAGCTAGAGCCTCTTGCGCAAGTTTCGAGCTAGAGCCTAGCGAGCTGAGCTTACCTTTGCAAACGCACTTAAGTTCAACTAAATTTGGTATAATATTCTCAATAAATGATAGAGTAAGTGCCGCAAATATTTTACTTCTTGCTCTATCTTTATTTTTAGTACAAAACAAATAAGCAGATTGTAAAAATAAGACTTCGAATTATTTGGCACCTTTAGTCTTTCGCTGACTGACTAGACGTGATTCAAATATTTAAACTTCTCAAGCTCTCTTTTGTACCTCTAATTTTGTTAAGGTGTTTTGCCAAGGCTGTCTAGGACAATTTCTGTCAGTCATCTGTTCCATGTCTGCACAGGGAGAACGACTCACTGGCCCATACCGCAAAGGAGAAAGTCGATATTTTAAGTTCTATTTTTGAGTCCAACTCTAGCTCTTGATGAATAGGGATACACACCGCCGACCATTCGGCGGTGTGATTACTCCATGCTGGATGTGCGGTTTACGCAGCACTCAGTGTGCAAAGCAGTCCTCTCCCTGGACGTCAAGTCGAGTGGGTCTGATGGAGTCTCTCCTATTGCGCTGAAGACGAGTGCTCAGGAGTACGCACCGGTTCTAGCGCGTCTTTTCCGCTACTCCAACTCCCTAGGCGTAATCATAAACAAATGGAAGAGAGCTTTAGTGCACCCGATCCCTAAAAATTTGACCGATCAGACCCGTCCAACTACAGGCTTATCACCGTCGCCTCCTTGATCTCCAAAGTAATTGAATCCATTATAAACTGCTAGCTCATAAATACCTTGAGGACCACCAGATTATTGGCCTCTAATGCGGTCAACAATCAGCATATCATTATGGTTCTAGTTCTAATATTCTAATTTACCTGACTCTATCATAGATGAGCGGATGCAGTAGAGTCCTTGGTCGTTACTTTGGACGTAGTGAAGGCCTTCTATGGCCTTCCCGAAAAATTGTACAATTGGATCATCAGTTTTTTTTTTGCAGATTTGTGATGCTTTTTACAGCGGTCGTGCTAATAATTTTCGGGACCATGTAATCTAGTATCGGCTAAAAACTTGTGTCTGAAGTCGTTAAAATAAAAAAATCTCGGATTGGGGACGACTCTAGTCCAGTT